AGATGATCACTGTTAATTAGCTTGATTGTGGTTATCATTTCACAATGTATACATACATCTGAAGATCACATTGTACACTATATACACACATATTTTTTGTCAATTATACCTCAATAAATGTTATGAGTTAAATGTGTTATTTAATTAGAGTATTCCTAAAGCATTCAACCTAAAACATTAGAGCATGTAACTTCCAAACAAGAAGAGGAAAAATTGGGAAACAAAGAAGGAGAAAGAAAGAAAGGAGACGAATGAAAGAAGGAAATGAATGAAAAAGATAAAACAGAAAAATAAACCCAATAATAACATGGTAGAAATAAACCTAATGGTATTACTAATCAAATATTCTAAATTATTCAATAAGTTATAAATTATCAAACAATTTTAAAAACCTAGGATTTAAAAAATACAGAAAAGTTTTTGAGACATATACTTAAAACAGATTTAGAAAGATTTAAAGTGAAAGGATGAAAGATAAATGATGTAAACACCAATCAAGGAAACCTTAATTTGATATCTGAATTTACGAATCAAGGACACCTTCATTTGAACACATTAAGAATTTAAAACAAAAGTTATTAATAGGTAGCCAAAATATTGTATCCCTACATTATAATAAAAATTTCAATGTACTCTAATTCACTAATAATATAGCTTCGAAATATATAAAGTAAAAATATACAAATCTATAATGAGAAATCTCCAAATCTACCATATAGTGAGCTATTTTAATACATCTATTTTTGTAATTGATAATTCAAGCGGATAAAAAATTGGTGAAGATACCGCAGATCTGGATTGCATAATTAGCACACTTGTTTTAAAAGTGTACATGGGGCTTTATATAATTAGAGAGTACACATTATTTTTAAGTATACAAGTAAAACTGACCACATGCTAGGTTATAATGCTAATTTATATAACTCTAAAGGGATTGGTATCATATATTTTCTGACTATATTATAAATTAGTTAGGCAACGTTTACTACAAGATAATAAAAGAATCTTCATTTGAGTGACTGGAAATTAAAATGTACACTTCTAAAAAGTTCATGGCTCAAATCAGAAACCAAAGTGGAAATGAAAAATACTTAAAGCTACCTAGTAACAAAATAATTGTATTGAAACTCATGAAAAGAAGTGACACAAATTTATAGCCTTAAGAGCTTACATAAGAAAAGCTCAAAATTAATAAGCTAAGCAGATACCTTAAGAGCTTAGAAAATAGATAACAGAAAAATTCGAAGATAAGAGGAAGAAATAAAATAACGATTAATGTAAAAAAGACAGAAGGTTTTTTGTGCATGTGAAAGAGCTAATAAAGTAGTATAAGTTCTGACAAAACAAAAAGAAGTAATATATATACATATTTGTAACAAGGAGGTCATAATAATAGATAATGGAAATATTTAAACTGATAACAAGAGGATATTAAGAACAAATTTATTCTATTTTGAACATATATATGAAATGGTTAAATATTTTGGAAATTATAATTTATGAAAACTGACTCATAAGAAAGCTTAAATAGTCCTATAATCCTTAAAGTAATGGAAGCAATAAGTTTATTATCTTCTGACAAAGTAAACTCCAAACCCTGAGAGTTTTCCTGGTGATTTGAGGAAATATTCAAGGACCACATAATTCCAATCTGGCACAAATTCTTCCAGAGAATATTAATAGTGAGAATACTACCCATCTTATTTTATGAGATAATAACAGCAACAGATAAGGTTAGTACCAAAAAGGATAATTATAGGCCAATCTCAATTCATATATATAGATGCAAATATCTAATGCTTACCTTTATATCTATACATAAAAGTTATTGCATATTTACCGTAGCGGGTTTATTCCTGGATGTCAAGTTGATTTAATATTAAATATTAAATACTAAACTTCATCGTATTAACATATTTAAGGGAAAAATTATATGTAAAAATCAATAGCTATAGAAGAAGCATTCAATAAAACATCTCCTCATAATAAAAGTGCTTACCAAAACGAGAACTGAACTTTCTTATCATGGGACAGAGCATTTACAAAACAACCATCATGAGTGCAATATTTGAAGTTGATATAGTGAAATCTTTCTCTTTATTTAAAGGATAAAACAAGATGCCTTTCTCTACTTTAATTCAATATTCTACTGGCAGTACTAACCAAAGCAGTAAAACAATAAAAAAATTAAAGTTATAAGGACTGCAAAGGAAGAAATAAAACTGTCATTTTTAGATGATATGACTACTTGTGTAGTAAATCTGAAAGACTCTATAGGTAAATTTAGAATTATTAATTGAGTTTATCAAGTTTGATATATAATCAATATATAAAAGGAAATTGTATTTCTATATGCTAGGAACAATGTTACAAAATATAATTTTTATAAAAGAAAACATCTACAATAGTAAAAATAAAATGTACTTATAAATAAGTTTAACCAAAAGGAACAAAAGGAAAATGAGGAAAAATATTATAAAACCTTATAAAGATTAAAGTTGAATTAAATAAATGGCATTATGTACCAAGCTCATAGGTGGAAAAATTCGGCATTTTAAAGAGGCCATTTCTCCCCAAACTGGACATATAGAATTAATTCAATATCATTCAAAATTCTACTAGATTTGTTTATTTGCTTGCTTGTTTCTTATTTTGTTATTTAAATATTTATATGGAAGGTTGAAGGTCCAAGAATTGCTAAAACACTCTAGAAGAAGAATAAAGAGGTGGGAGGATCTTTCTGACCAAGTTTCAAGACTTATTATAAAACTGCAGTAATTAAAAACAATTTTGTATTGGCACAGAATTAGACAAAGAGATAATGAAAGAGAGTAGAGAGCTTAAAACAAATTCATGCATGTGTGAAAAACTTGATTCATGCAGATCACTGGTGCCTGGATAATTATTACCCATGTGGAATAAAAAAATGTAACAATCAATTTCCAGGTGAATTAAGACTAATGGCCAAATGCAAAACAATAAAAGTTTTTAAAATACAGTAAAATTAATTTATTACCTTGGGAAAATAATTTTCTCAAGACAAACTATAAAAGAAAATACTGGTCACTTGAAATTAAAAGTCAAAACTTCAGACATAAAGAGAAAGAAAAGCTAAGTACCAAATAGAAAGCAGATATTTGCAGTATATATTGCTAACAAAAGATTAATTAGCATTCAGATTATAAAAAGAAAGCATTCCAATGAGTTGATAAGAAAAAGACAACCCAGTATGAAAATGAGTAAAAGACAGGAACCAGAATTATCACAGAGAGAAAGCAATATAGCTCATCAACATATGAAAGATGGTCAACTTCATTTCTTATCAAAGAAATGTTAATTAAAATCACGAGGGAATGTTATTTCATGCCTACCATACTAGCTAAAAATGAAATTTCATAATACCAAGTTATGACAAGTATGTAGAGCAGCAGGAACTATCATCTGTTGTTGGAGTGCAGACTGGCTCAACACTTTGAAAACAACTTGGAAATAACCTAATAAAGTTGAACATACATAAGTCTTATAACTCAGTAATTCTACATCTAGGTGTATACTCCAGGAAAACTGCCTGCGTGAAGCAAAAGTCATGTACAAGAATGTTAGAAGACAACGTTATCCGTTAATATCCCCTGTTGCAAGCAGCTTTTAACATGGCCCCCAATAATCTCTGCCTCTGGGTTTTCATGCTCTTTTCTAATCCCTTCCCCTTGAGCGTGGGCTAGAACCAGTGATTCGCTTCTAATGAATATATGGGCAAGTGATAGGATGTCACTTTTGAGATTAGGTTACAAAAAGAATCTGGCTTTCGTTCATCTGTCTCTTTCTCTCTGAGGGCCTTCACTCTGGGGGAAAGCAAGCTCCTATACAGAAGCCCACGTGGCAAAGAACTGATGTGTAAAATAAGAGTTACTTGAACACAAGCACTGCCATCCCTCGACAGTGGATCTGTCGGTTGAGGCATCTTGGCTGAGATACCAGGGACAGTGTAGGAATTTCAATACGTTACTCAGAACAGCGTGCGATTTAAAACTTATGAATTGTTCATTTCTAAAATTTTCTATTTAATATTTTCAGACTGTGGTTGACTGTGGGTAACTGAAATGGTGGAATTGTGGATAAGGGAGAACTATTATGTTGAAATTAAATCAATTTACTAATAAATAATTTGGAGTATGAAAGGATGGATGATGCATGGGTGATCACTAGACAGATACATTCTGTGCTCGACGTCTAGTTAGGCCTGCACTTTTTCCCACAGTTTCTCCTATGCTTTAAGGCCTTCTCCCTCCATTGCCCTTTGAGTCAACTCAGCGGCCAGTTCCAGGGCTATTCATCTAGTAACTGTTTAACCCAGCACTTACCAGAAGGCCAGATGCATTCCAGACTAACATTCCACCTGGTTCCCGGCACCCCCTCTCACCACCAGCCCTCCCGCACCTCACACCTTCCTCCCCCACCACTGACGCTCTGGAGGCCCCTCGTAGAGCCCTTCGGTAGGTGAGGACTTTAACCTTGGGGGAGGGAGGGTTATGCAGAGGCAGGCTACACTGAAAAAATTCAAGAGCAAGCTCCAGGTGGTGAGATGCCATCGCCTCCACAGTTCTTTTCAGCTCTAGTCTCAATACTCTCGCGGAGCACAAAGTAATCATAAGAAAATAGGGGGTCATGGCTTCCCGATAAACAAAGGTGAATAACTAGATGGCAAGAAGGGAATAGAGACCGAGCTGCAGGGGGGGCACCAGAGAAGGATCTGAGAGGTAAACAGCAAGGAATCCTGCGTGGAACACGTCTGTCACTGTCCCCTCCTGTCCCCTCGGGAGCACGCAGAGGCCCCACACCAGTCCCCATCCCTCTTGATCCCATATAAACGCCCAGACAGCCTCTCCGGGCATTTACCACGTCTCCCCTACTCCCCTCCCGAGCCACCAGCGCTAGGGGCTATGGCTAGTGTCACCGCCAGGCTTTTCCTGGACCAGAATCTATCGTTGAGCCACACTCACCGTTTGCCCCACTGTTCCCTGCAGTATGAGTTCGGGGACAGAGAGGACTGGCAAGGAGGGAGAAGCGGCAGTTCCCAAGAGAAAGGAGCTTCTCAGGAGAGAAGAGACGGAGCTGCAGACAAGGCCTGGGACTTGAGAAGTCGCAGGCAGGCAGGGGGCGAGGAGGGGCCATCTCGGCAGCTGATTGGTGGCCGCGGCAGGGGGCGGAGCCTGGCTGGCCACCTCAAGCCCGCAGAGGCTCCACTTCGTGTCAATTTCTGCACGAAGATGAGGCCCCAAATCCAGGATGGAGACACTGGGGCCCTACTTGGGGCCCTACCTGGGAGTGCCAGCAGGACAATTTGTTGAAAAATAAATCCCCGAGACTATTTATGAACAAATGAGAGGTTGATAATAATATATTTTTATATAAATTAATCACAATTATATCCAAGGATGAGTTAAAAATCTATGGGTTATAGATATATTTTTTTAATTAAAATAATCAATTCGTATTAAAATGGAGACTATGACTACATTCTTTTAAGAAAATTTTGCATCGCTTATGTAAGGGCAGGACTAAGTGTGAAGAAGTTGGTACTTCTTCATAACCACTAAATTGTTTTAAAAAATCTCACATGTATGAATTTTATGAATTAAACAGAATGGGTTAAAATTTTTACTAACCAATAATAGGTGACAGATATTAGGCAAGTGTGAAAGACAAGGTACGGCTGTTAAAAGCCTGGACTCCAAAGTCACTGTGACATTCCCTACATACCAGCTGGGGAGTGAGTACCTGTGGTTTCCTGGGGCAGCCATAATATGTGGCTTGAAACTTAGTAGCTTGAAACAACACCATTTATACTGTTCCGTAGGTCAGAAGTCCAGCCAGCAAGCGTCTCACTGGCTTACATCAAGGTGTAGGCAGGGGTGTGTTACTTCTGGAGGCTCTAGGGGAGAATCCATCTCTTTGCCTTACTCAGCTTCTAGAAGCTGCCCAAATTCTTTGGCTTGAGACCTCTCGTTCTAAGCTGGCAATCTCATCATTTGGACTTTTGCTTCTGTTGTCACATCTCATTCCCTGCTTCTCCTCTTTCACTTATTTCTGAGCAAGTTTGACCTGCTAGTTCCCTTTCTGTCCTGGATCCAATAGGCCTCCCTCAATTCTAAATCTCACTTCTCCTTTTATCCCCATTTCCTTTAGGTATTTATGTTCATCTTCTGTCTTCTGCATTGTTTGTCTTTGTTCCCTAGATAATTTACTTCTTTACAGGTAGAAAGTGTAGCGGGTGGAACACCTTACCAACAGAACACTTATGCTGTCCTCTTACTGCCACTTAAAAGTCAGGTGCTTTGCAAAGTTGTTGAAATACATGTGACAACATGTGACAAAGGACATTCTAAACTCTTGGAGGCTGTCAGTACTGTTTCCAGTCTGGTTTCTTCTTTCCTTCTCTGAGCCCTCACCCAGGCCAGACTTGCTTACCCAGTTCCAGAGCCAGTCTACAGAGAGCATGTCTCTGACGTCAGAGGGGGAGGGGTGAGGGGCCTGGGTTGAGAGGAGGCAGCAGGGGGAGGATTGTTGCTGAGCAGAACAGCCTGGCCCCCATTGGCAGTGAATTTGCTGGCAGAAGTCCTTGTAGTCTGTGTGTGTTTGCAGGGTGGAGGGCTGTAATCTGCACTGGCCCTGTCTCCTCCCAGCCCCAAACACACAACACACACACACACACACACGCACACACGCACACACGCACACACGCACACGGAGCAAAGCCTAGAGGACCGTGATCTTGGCCTCACGGATTTTGTACTGAAAGCTCTGGAGCCTTAAGTGGGCATCTGAATGTCAAGGTCATGTTCCTGTCTGCGCTAACTCTTTCTACTGCCTGCATTTCAGTGTTCCTTTTTTATTTTTTTTTGATAAAGGAGGACACTGAATGAGATGTTTTAGCTCTGAAACTGTGACCACATACACAGCAAGAATAACACCAACTAAAATTGGTGTGCTCTGGGGTGTGTATGGGGGAGTGCTGGCAGGCACGTGTTATGTTCACTATCAGTTTTTGAGAGGAGGAGGGATATGGCAGTAGAGAAATGCAGCTGTCTTGGCAGAGAGAAAGCTTAACGCCAAGGAACCCGGGTCTTTCAGGAACAATTATTCTGCAATCCCTAAACCCTCATCTGCCTTCACAGGTCCCCCAGACACCCTTTTCAACACTGGCTTTCCCTTTCATCCTCAAAGAAATTACCCCTCTGTGTCTGGGAAGCCAGATTGCTCATTTCTCGAAACCTCTGAGACGTGAACCCCAACATCTGCAAACCGATCTCAAGTCAGGCCTGGCAGGTAGTTCTGAGGGAGATTAGATTAAGTGAGGGGAGGAAAAGGCTTGCAGATTTTGAGGAGGTAAGGAAGGAACAGTGGTTAGTGCCTATGGGCAAAAAGTGTGATTCTCCTCTAAGAGAGAATTCTTCCTGCCTTGCAACTGGGATATTAACCGCCCCGCTCAAACCCCTTAGACTTGAACTGAACAGGAGCTCTCCCTGGGTCTTTAGCCTGTCGGCCCTCAGACTGGACCTAAACCATCAGCTCTGCTGGGGCTTCACCTTGCAGGCTCGTCCTTGTCCACCTTAAAAAACAAACAAAAAAAACAAAAAAAACCCCTGCTAGTTATTTTACCGGTAAAAAAATGTGTTTATTAGCGAATAACATAGAAATGGCAATTCAGTACACGTGAGCTATAGCAAACCATAGGCTAGTCTAGAGAACAAAGGAGAGGAACGTTACTTTATAGAGAAAAATAAGTTAGATGTGGCTCTTATAATCGAAATGTCCCTTGGTAAAACCTGGCGATGGAAGTGTAGTGGCTCCTCATTGGTTGAGTCATGGCAGTTTCTCATTGGCTAGATCTGTTGCTAGGCAAGGAAAAAATCCTCCTTCCGGTAGTAAAGTAGGCCTCTTCCTGTCGGAGGCGGCTGCGTGGCTGGACAGTGGTGGCGCCGCAGCGCCCCTTCCGGCTTCCGGACCTCGCTTTAAACGCGGTTTCCGTTATTCGTTTTCACACCCTGCGTCTTTTGAGACTTGCCAGCCTTCATGATCCAGTGAGCCAATTCCTTAGAGTAAATCTCTATCTTTCTATCCATGGGCCCTGTTCTTTTGTCTAGAGAAGCCTGACTAACGCGGCTGACAGGTTTATTTATTTGGAATTCGCTGTTGGCCCCTACTGAGCTGATAACTCCTGAGTGCAAGCTCCTCACAGGGGCCCTTTATTCAGAGGTGGAGCGTGACTGTGGGGCAGACCTCACTCCCTCTGTGTCTCCCCAGATTTCTTAAACGGAATTACTACAAACACATGCGAAGGGGAAAGCTTTAAAAGCTTACGTTTGGAATGTTTTGTGTTTCGAAATCGAGCTTGTTCAGGGACGTCATGGAGAAATCCCATCAAAATAGCGGGAGGATTGGAAAAAAACTGATGGAGCTGGAGAATTTTTTTAAGGAAAGGTTATGTGGTGTCTTTAGGATAATGACATTTTTATGAAATCAATATAGTGCATGAATAGATGGAAAGTAAGGAAAAAGTAATTGTACTGAATATTTTTAAGTTTAAAAGATACTCTTTTTTAGTTTGGGCTGCCGTAACAAAAAATGTCATGGACTGGATGGCTTAAAAAACTAATATTTGTTTCTCAGTTCTGGAGGCTGGGAAGTCCAAGATCAACTTGCCAGCAGTTTGGTGTCCTGCAAGGATTCTCGTCCTGGTTCATAGACAACGCCTTCTCCCTGTGTCTTCACTCCCTGTCACCTCACCGTCACTGAGAAGAAGAGCTCAGGTATTTTCATCTTCTTACAAGGCACCGTTCTCATTCACGAGGGCTTCGCCTTCGTGACCTAATGACTTCCCAAAGGCTCCACCTCCTAATGCCATCACATTGGGGGTTTGGATTTCAACATATCAATTCTGGGGTGACCAAACATTTAGTTCCTAACAGTTAAGTTGAACTCAACAAAAAAGGTGAAGAATTGGCTCAGATAAATGTTTCTTCATAACAAGAACATCTGCACTCTTCCTGAGTGTGCGATACCATGGTTTTCTCCACTTGGCTGGGTGTATCCTCTTCTCAGGAAATGGCCCTGAGTGCCTGCAGCCGAGTGCTGCTGGTTTCATTGGTCTTTCTCGTGAAGACCATGATTTTTCTTAGGGCTACATACCACTTCAGTCCACTATCTCATGTTTGGGTGATATCAGTGAGAATTCTTAACATTTTATCAACTTACTTTATTTCCTTAGTATAATTTCTTAGGCCATGAAGGGGCTGTTGGAAGAATGAGTGGGGGATAGAATTTAAACATCATTCCAAGATGAATGAGAACTTTGCTTTTTGCAGAGGCAGGAAGGATTTGGAGCCAAACAGCCTAGCTTGAAATATCCATTCTTACATGAGACGTATTTGAAGAGAGCCTGGTACATAGCAAGAGCTCAGTAAATGCCAGACATTTATTGTTAAATTAATGTCACTTTTAGAAGTTCATAGAATGAGGTTGTGCCCCATTCCTTCTTTGCTCTATGCTAAATATTTATTTTATAACTTTCTTTAAAATTAATTTTATTAGATAATGATGGAAGGAAATTTTGTGATCTAGCCTCTTTATCTGTCATCCTGCCACTGCCTTTTAACAGAAGTAAGCATTTATGCTAACCAACATGTTCCTGGAAGAATTTCACCTAGTTTCTCTTACAAATTCTCAGTGGTCACCGTTTTTACTCTAACTTAAAACAGTTTTATATGTCTTTTTTCTCCTGGTCACTCAAATGTACAGCTTCCGCACAATAAATTTGTAGTCTCTTTTGCTTTCTCTCTCCTCATCTCCCTCCCTTCCCCCCCTCCCCAATCTCATTTGGGAAATTCAAATAGGGTAGTTTGAAGAAAGAAAAAAATGCCTTAATATCATTCTAAGGAAAGAAAAAGAGTCTATTTTAAAGCAAGATCCAAAAAAAAAAAAAGTCTTGACAGCTCTGGTTCAGGCCTGGATACTCTTATGGGGACACTCTTGAACACTTCTTGGCTTACAGAAGTACTGGTGATGACACTAACAGAGCCTGGGGATACAGGAACCCCAGATTCACCCAATTTCCTCTAGCCAGCTAGACCTCCATTTCCTTAGATCTAGGGCCTGGATTTCTGGCATGTAACCCCTGAGAAAGTCAGATTTAGGCTGGCCATTCCTAGAGGAATCCCCCAGATCCTAAAGACACTAGGGGTCTACCTCAACAGAGCCAGGGGCAGGGGAAGCCTCCTTTCCCACCCCTACTGAGGAGGCCAGCTGCTCTGCCCTCTTCCTTTTATTTCCAGTGCCTGGATGCTAGACTGGAAAGTCCAGAGATGCTGAAAGCTGACGTGTTCTGAAAGACAAGAGACTCCAACAGACCGTTAGGTGTGAGGGAATCTTATTTTCTCTATCCACCCACACCCCTTGAGCTGGCTGCAATTTCTGCTCTCCCCTTTTCGCACTGTAGGGCCTCTGTGTTCTACCTGGAAGCCCCGGGGAGGTGCTGTGATGGTCAGTCTATGCTTGTAGTGATCTCTCTATATCTAAAAGGTATTCGGGCCTTCTCTCGACCTCTGCTCTTGCTAAAAAAAAAAAAAAAAAAAAATTTCACACCCGTTCTTCATTCAGACTCAGTTTTCCACAGTGGCACAACTACCAGTTGACACAGCTAAAAAAAAAATTCTCAACCCCTTTTTTATTGCTTATGGTTAGAAAAATAAACATTTCCACTAAGCTAGATTCCTATGCAGATTAACGGAGAAACAGCCTTAAAAAATGATGCAAACTACCAACAGTAATGATGAACTTTCAAAGGTAAGTGCAAAAGAAGGGCTGAAGAGGTCAAACCAGATATGTAACTACTCTGATTATGTGAGATTTTGATTTTATATACTGATATAAATCCTCTAAAGATTCTATTTATATCCTGCTTTTTTTTCCATCTAAAATATCATCTGTGTTTTTTTCCTTTACATTTTTCCAACAGTTCATTGCTGGTCTGAGGAATACTATTAATTTTTTTTTTAAGAAACTATTAAGTGTGATGTTACCTATTGATTTAAAATAGAGAGATAGTATTCATTATGTTAAGGAAATATATTTCTAGCATACCAAAATATCTAAAGTCTCTTGTGGGCAAAGCATCTTATTGAATTGCTTCTGGTTTTTTTTATTGATCCGGTAGATGTTCAGGTTTTAACTTCTAACACTGGCAGAGTGTATGCACTTGAGTATAGTAAATTATGTTTTCATTAAGCCGTTAAAATTACTAACATTTAAGAGTTTTGATCTATTTTTTTAAAAATGAGCTTCATTTATACAGCAGTCCTTAGATTTTTATTTTTGTGATCAGTAACATATTAGTAAGTGAATTATGCTCAAATAACTTTGGGAAATTCCATGTTCTACACCCGTTTTTATAGATGCTAAGTCATATCAACATATTAAAAGCTCTGAGCTATCTGTAGCAAATAATACTGCTTAAATTTATTTAATGTCACACTGTTTATATTTACTTACAAATGATTTTTTTTTTCCCCTGGAATACCTGTTAAAATGTGTTGGACAGATTTCTGCGAATACCAACTTAGGGACACACTGGTCTGTGGATTTCTTTTCTGACTTTGCCAGGTTTAGTTATTAGAGTTACGTTAGCTTTATAGGATCTGCACATGAATAAAAATTTGTCAATATTTTGGCTTATGTTAAAATAACATTTTTATAATTATAAAACTACTATGTGTCTGTTATAGAAAATTGGAAAAATACCAAAATCATAGAACAAAAAAAATTAAATCACTTATATGTGATCCTAATATTAGGGATCCTAATATTAGGAATGTTATAGTTAACATTCTGATAAACTTTTATATATCTATATGTAGGTATTTATATATTTATGTATGTTCCTATATTTATAAAGTTGAGACTATTTTGTATATCACATTCAGTTCTATGTTGTTTTTTTCACCATGATTTATATCTTGAACATTTTACCATACCATTGAACATTCTTTAAAGTTTTAATGGCTGTATAATAGTTTATGTCATTTACTGGAGTTATATTTATTTTCCATTTTAAAAATCAGATGATTCCAAAAGTTTGCTAGTTACAAAAATCTTGTTAAAAATATGTTTTACTTATGTCTTGATCTCATTCTGATTATCATTGTAGTCTTCGTAGAATTAACGAGCCAAAAGTGAGCTTTTGATACATAGTGCCAAATTATCCTCTAGAAACGTCTTATATATTTATACTCCCAACAATTCAATTGGATTGTATCTGTCTGGACTTCTGCTGGACTGAATACCTTATTTTCCAAACATTATGTAGTCCTTCTACATGTTATCTGAAATCCTTTTTGGTACAGATTGAAATGTGTGGCAGAAGGGGTTTTTTTCTCCTTCCTTTCCTTCCTGGAGCACAACATATATAGTGCCAAAATGAGAGAAAGGCATATTTTGAAATATAAACCAGGGTATGGGGAGGTTGGGAAGATTTATTAGCTCAAAATTAGTATTTGTATATTAAAAGTCCGTGTATCTTTTAGATAATCTTCTAGAGGCTGGTTTAGGTAAGGGTCCTACTCTATTTCCTTCTTCTCATCCAAAGAATTTCCTTTCCCCCACTGAAATCTCCTATTAAGCAGAGAAGCTGAATGGAGCAAGAAAAATGGCAGAAAAGTCTAGCTGAAGGCTTGACACAGAGGATTTTGTGAATGGCAATTGGGGATAACAGGACAAGAGCTACCTGGGGTTCTTTTTCTAATGTATAGTTGAAGTGGAAGAGGAGGAAGACAAAGCCAGGGAGAATTATGAGACTCAGGGTAGAATGGTGAGACTGCATCTTGGGCCCAAGCTCAAGTCTTGGGGGATGTTGCACAAGCTGACAGGTTAACTGATGGTGGCTTTCCTCTCCTAAAGGCAGGGAGAATGGAGAGGCAGCAGATCCTACCTTGACCAGGGGAGGATTCAAGTGGAAAGGACACCTCAACTTTTGTTATTCTTGATGACTGCATGGGCATGAGATCACAAACTTTACTCTTCTGTGGGGATTTCACTTTAGTGTTGAAGTGAAACAAAATGAATGTCTTAATAGTTCGATGATTCTGATAGATGTTGGACATTTGAATGAGCCCTGCCCCATTCATTATTGATCACACCACCTCCCTGACCTTTGGAGATTCCATTATCTCCTTTGAATGATTTGGCAGTGCCTACTCTTTTAAATGGAATTACCCGGAATGCATGAATGGTAATGCTTTTGCATGCATCTTGATGACCAAAAGAAATGCATCTCTATCTGTGTAAATCTACCTCTATAGGTCCTATGAAGGACTTGGTTGTTGCTTCACAAGACGGTGTGGAAGTTTGTGAGTTTTTCTTTTGATGAATCCTCACTTCATTTAGAATAAATTTATACTTTACATTGTTACTTAAATCATATTCTATATACATAAAACTTCATTTCAATTAAAATTTTTATCAAAAATTGAATTTCAGAACAATATCTCTGAGGAAATTTTAGCTACAATTAGGCTTCCAAATTAATTTAAAATTTAACTGCCCATGTATGACAAATTCAACTAAGATAAGATGATTAAGGCCTACCTTTTTGAATGGTTAAATTCACCCATGCCCACGAAATGATTCTATCACAATTTAGTCCTCTATCTAGAAGACAGCAGATTCTTTAATATTAAATACTTTAAAATGTGGAGAAAACCAACTACCATCTTATTAGAAATACAGAGGACAAAGCAATATGTAAAATGGTACCATA